CTCGCGCAGACGTCCTTTAATAACCGAGTTTGTAAAGCAATCCCCAGGGCCTCCAGGGCTCGCACCTCAACCTCTCACAGACCAGCGCATGCGCCATCGGACGTATTTTCTTGTCAATAACAAGGCTGTGAACAGCGTTTGAGCTCTGCCACCGCCTGCCAGCCGCCAGCCGCCCTCTTGCGTTCATCCCAGGGCGGCCGCTCCGCGTCATCGCCGCCTCGGCTACCGCCGCCGCTATCGCCGCCGCCGCCGCCGCTATCGCCGCCGCCGCCGCCGCCGCCGCCGTGCAGCGAACTGGATGGTCCCCGGAGGCGACGCTTGCCGTACTGTGCTTGACTTGGGAAACTGTAGCAGCTACTACGCTGGCCCCTACCAGAAGAAGGGAAATGACCCCGACGACGACACGTGGCGGCTATGCAGGCCGCATTCCAACCTTAGCAAGGACGAGGTGTGCCAGGGCGATGCGATCAGGGGCTGCTTTCCGCTGCCGCCGCTGCCGTCCAGCGCCACAGCCTCCATGGCCGTGCTGCTAGCCGGCCAGGTGCGCAGCTTCGCGGAAGTCGAGCAGCGCCGGACGCTCCTCGCATGGTTGGCGTGCGTTTCTTTTTGTCGTGTTTGAGATCTCTAAAAATATATAAGAGTCTGAGGGCGGCCACTTCCATGTGCCCCCCCCCCCCCCCCCCAAGGCCGCAAGGGCGGCGGCTCTACAAAAATAAATCATTCGAAAATAAATGGTACAACATCAACAACAGGATACACAGAGGTCGCGCACCCCCAAAAGAGCACGATCACGACACAATAAATCCGCACCGAGGCAGAGCCTGCTACCTAGGGCAAGTGCGCCGCGTACCACGCCTCGAGGGCTCGCAGCGCCCCCTCCCCCTGCTCGGTGTGCTGGTGCGGCCCGAAGTGACCCATCCCGTGTGCGGCGCCGGGGTAGACGCGCAGCTCCGCGCGGTTGCCGCTTGCGAGCCTACGCCATGAGCATGAAAGTCGGGGTGGGGAACATATCGTGAAGGTAGAGAGCATCGCGTGGGCTGCGAATACAGCAAAGTACAGCCGGATGCCGTCGAATTTGTGTCCTCGCGAGTGCAGCTGGAATACTACGAGTAAAACAGATCTTATTCCGCATCTAGGCCACCGATCCAGCGCGCGTACATGAAGAGGGAATCCTCGAGGAGAGCGTCCTCGGTCCCCACGCTGAGCAGCGGGATGGGGCTGGTCAGCGCATAATGGCAACGCAAACCACCACCCCGGGTGAGGTGGCAGGGACGGAGCTCGCGTGTGGCCAGACCTGAGCAGGGCGGGAGGCATGCCACCGAGGTCGGCGTGCAGCGGCGAGACGTCCGGGTCGCGCAGCCGCGCCTGCAGGAAGGTTCAGAGGAGCTTCACGGAAGGGTCCACTGCAGCGGCGAGTCCGGGTCGCGCAAAACTGTGGCCGCGTCGAAGCCGGTGCCGAGGTACTGCGAGCGGAACCTAGAGGGGCGTGCGGAGAGGCATTCAGAGCAGGTTCGCTGTAGGTCGGCGCCGGGAGCACTGCGAGCGGAGCCAGCGCAGCTCATTCGCGGTCTCGACCAGTCTCTTCTCGCCCCACGCCTAGAAGGTTGCTAGAAGGTTCGTAGAAGGTTCCTGCGGTCTCGACCAGTCTCTTCTCGCCCCACGCCTGACAGGGGGGGTGAAAAGGGATGCAGGAGGACGCGCCCCGCGCCCCGCGCTAGAGGGGGCTACAGAGAGCACCGCCGGCGTCAGCTCTGCTGGCGGCCCTCCCTAGCACCAGGGGTATGTGGGCTGGTTGGAAGCGCGGTGCCTTGAAGAAGGGCGTCTCGGCGAGGTCGAACCAGCCGTAGGTCAGGGCGACCGCCGCATAGAGCGATCGCCGTTCCGGCGGGGGGAGGCGGACGAGCAGCGACGCGGCGAGGTAGCCTGCAGGAGAGGGCTCAGAGAACGTTCGCGCGCGAGGCGGACGATCAGGCAGCGGCGAGGTCGCCTCCCGCCGACTCGCCAACCTACGCC